GCTGACCCTCACTGGGATACAGTTCCTGAAGGTGCTGACCCTCACTGGGATACAGTTCCTGAAGGTGCTGACCCTCACTGGGATACAGTTCCTGAAGGCGCTGACCCTCACTGGGATACAGTTCCTGACGGCGCCGACTCTCACTGGGATACAGTTCCCGGAGGGCGCCGACTCTCGCTGGGATACAGTTCCCGAAGGGGCCGACTCTCGCTGGGATACAGTTCCTGAAGGGGCTGACTCTCACTAGGGGCCAGTTCTTAAATCCATACCTACTGTTCACTTTTCCTTTTCTGATCTTGAGTTACTACTCAATTATTGTGTTTTTCAGACCATAATTGTATGGCCCTCCAGTTCAGGCATAATAGGGTTTAGGGAACAAGGAAGCAGTTCTGATGAAGTCGTCAGACTCAACTTAATTCTGTTTTCTCTCCACAGATGCTGCTAGATCTGTTGAGTTTTGCCAGCAATTTCTGGTTTTGTTTCAAATCTCCAGCAACCACTGTTTTTTGTTTTATTTTAGAGAATAAGTTGCCTCTGCCTTGTGAAAAGTTATTCAGTGCACATAATCTTCCCTTTACCGTCTAACATGGTAATATGTTATCCAATCTGGTAGGAGGGCCAGAGATGCAGAGTGTTTCTTACATGGTGAGATTGGAAACTGCTGGAGACCTAGGTGGCCTTGTCCATAAATCACTGAAAGCTAAGCATGCAGGTGTAGTGAGCAATTCAAAAAGCAAACAATATGCTAGCCTTTATTGGAAGAGCATTTGAGTACAGGAGCAAAGAAGTCTTACTCCAGCTCTACAGAACACTAACCCTTGTTAAGTGTTACCCTTTATGGATTCTTCACATTATCTTGCATGATAGTTGGTTTTGGAAGGACGTTTATTTTGATGTAACATTTATTTTTGTTTTCCTTCTCAGGCAGTATTAGAAGATCAGACATTCAAGAGACAGATCGAGATTGAGATAACACCTGTCTTTCTAGTGCCAGACACGAATGGATTTATTGATCATCTCCCCAGCTTGGTCAGACTGTTGGACTGTAAGCTGTACATCATCGTGGTCCCACTTATTGGTAAACATCTCCTCCACTACCCTCTTGTCCGAGATGAATATTGTCTGTGTGTGGTCTGGCAACAAGACTGAGTGCAGTAAATTGATGAGATGCCTTTATTTGATTGGTTGCACCAGGTTACATCTGGTGTTTTCTTTTTCTTAAGGGTCTCCTTTAAAGTGTGTGTCATAGTAAACTGCTAGGAATGTGAGAAAAAGCCTTCAGAAACAAAACGAACTCAAATCCCCGGTCATTGTTGATAATATCACTCCCCAGTGATGTGAGAGTTCAAGACATCAAAATAAATCCAGATTAGCAACTTGGGTGGAAGTGCATTGCAAAAAAAAAAATGACCAACCACAGGAACGAAAGTCAAGCAATTTGTACAATCATCCGATCCTAAGATTGTGCAACAGCCCATAACATTCAGCCAGCCAATTGTGTTTTTCTCTAATTAAATGCTATCATTCACACTATGCCTCAACCAACTCCCTTACCACTCTGCTTCCTTCAGTAATTGTTAGCTTTTGTCATTTAAACATTAAGTCAATGAAAGTATTGACTGATATTAAACTGGTACATCCCCATTGGAATTAAACATCGATAGGTAAAATCTAGTGCACTGTTACTATGAAGCAGGTTATTTGCTTTGATCAAAGCTTGGGCTAGAGCATGTGGGGTGTTCAAGGCATTTATCATAACAGAGAGAGACGCTGACATTGGGCTGTAACGGGAACGCACCGCAGTTGGGCTGTAACGGGAACGCACCGCAGTTGGGCTGTAACGGGACCGTGCCACTGTCGTGGTGTAGTAGGGGCACGCCAACATCAAGACGTCAACAGGGACGCGCCGACGTTAGGGTGTTTTCAGGTTATAATGGTGTTGCAAGTAATATGTTACAGGGTAACCACTTCCCACTACCTACTCCTCCTCATCAGTAAGAATTCTAATAGGTTGCAATAAATAACTAAGACTCAAACGATAAACAGTGGTGGTAAACATGTACGAAATTAGGAAGAAGCAATAACAGACAGTAGATTGTGCAGTGTAGTCTGTTACTCACCATGACTTCATGGTGGTATTCTAAATATTTAAAGTCTCAATGTTGTTTTATCACCCAGTGGTATAATTTCAGCAACCTGGTCTTGTGTGTAATGCAGTCACAACGTGTGTAAGGAACCAGCAACAACGGTGTGTACCTGAGCCTTACTGAGCTCTCATTCCAGGATCCCAGTGTTCTCTTAGTGAGTCCAGGGTCAAGTCGTCACCCATCCTTCCAACTTCCACATTATGATCGTTGTAAGAATCTAGGAATGAAATTAATGAAATGATCTCAAAACTAGTAATGTCAAGATTACTATCTCTTTGCCAGAAATATGACAGTGCAGGTAAATCTGTGGCTGGAGAGGAGGTATATGAGGAAGAATGTCAGATCGCTGAAGCTGTGGGATTGGTTCTGGAGAGATGGGGTCTGAACAATCCAGATGTCTTACACTTCAAAGGAGCCAGGAGCAGTGTTGTCAAGGGAATGGATTGCTGTTGCTTTTTCAAGAGGGCTTAAACCGGCTTGGCAGGGGATGGGAACTTGGCTGGAAGTTCAGAAGGGAGAAAACCAAAGCTGGAAATGGAAGGCAGAAAATATTCAGTGAATTTGATAGAAAACAAAGGCTAGAAAATAAACAACAAAGGAGTTTGATATTGTGTAATATTGAGTTAGAAGCAGGAATTGGACATTCAGCCTCCTGGTCTATTCAATAAGATGGTGACTGATCTGCTTACTTCCCTCACCTACCCCTGAATGCTAAGGCAGATAACTGAGGGTACCGGTAGACTGTAAGATGGGGGAACGGAAGTAAGTCATGCAGGCCATTGAATCTGCTCAATGAGATCATGGCTAATCTGGTCATTGTCACCTACAGTTTCCTGCCTTTTCCCCATAACTCTCGATTCCCTAACTGATTAAAATCTGACTGTCTCAACCTTGAATATACTTAACAACCGAGTTTCAACAGCCCTCTGCGGCAAAGAATTCCACAGGTTCACTCCCCTCAATGAAAATAAATTCCTTCTCTGTCTTAAATGTACCATCTCTTGTTTGGGGATGATACCCTCTGGTCCTGGACTGTCCCACAAGGGGAAACAACCTCTCTGCATCTATCCTGTCATGTCCCCTAAGAATCTTGTGTGTTTCAATACGGTTGCCTCTCAGTATTTGAAATTCCAGTGAGTACAAGCCCAGCCTATCAACCTCTCCTCATAAAATAATCCCTACAATACATAGAACATAGAACAGTACAGCACAGTACAGGCCCTTTGGCCCATGATGTTGTGCCAAACTTTTACCCCAAACCTAAGGTCTATCTAACCTCCACCCCTACCTTATACTATCATCCATATGCCTATCTAATAGCGGCTTAAATGCCCCTAATGAGGCCGACTCCAGTACCCTCTCTGGCAATGCATTCCACACCCCAACCACTCTCTGAGTAAAGAATCTACCTCCATTCACTTTAAAACTGTGTCCCCTCGTAATAGCTACCTCCACCCTAGGGAAAAAGTCTCTGGCTGTCCACTCTATCTATACCTCTGATCATTTTGTACACCTCTGTCAAATCACCTCTCATCCTTCGTCATTCTAAAGAGAAAAGCCTTAGCTCTCTCAACCTTTCCTCGTAAGACCTTCCCTCCATTCCAGGCAACATCCTGGTAAATCTCCTCTGCACCTTTTCCAACGCTTCCACATCTTTCTTGTAATGAGGCGACCAGAACTGGACACAATACTCCAGATGTGGCTGAACCAGGCTTTTGTATAGCTGGAGCATAACTTCACAGCTCTTGAACTCAATCCCTCTATTAATGAAAGCTAACACACCATACGCCTTCTTAACAACTCTATCCACCTGGGTGGCAGCTTTCAGGAAACTGTGAACATGAACCCCAAGATCCCTCTGCTCCTCCATACTGCCAAGAATCTTTCCATTAACCCTGCATTCTGCTTTCAAATTTGTCCCTCCAGAATGAATCACCACACACTTTTCAGGGTTAAACTCCGTCTGCCACTTCTCAGCCCAGCTCTGCATCCTATCAATGTCCTCTTGTAACCGAGAACAGCCCTCTGCACTATCCACAACTCAACCCACCTTCATATCGTCCGCGAACTTACTAATCCACCCTTCCATTCCTACATCCAAATCACTTACAAAAATCACAAATAGAAGAGGATCCAGAACAGATCCTTGTGGTACACCACTCGTAACTGAGCACCATGTTGAATATTTTCTGACCACTACCACCCTTTGTCTTCTAAGGGTCAGCCAATTCAGAATCCAATCTGCCACATTTCCCCCATCACATGCCTCCTTACTTTCTGCCTGAGCCTACCATGGGGAACCTTATCAAACGCCTTACTTAAATCTGTGTATACCACATCCACTGCTCCACCTTCATCCACGTGTTTGGTCACCTCTTCAAAGAATTCAATAAGGTTTGTGAGGCATGATCTACCCCTCGCCTGGTATCAGTCTCGTAAACTTTCTCTGAACTGCCTCAAATGCCAATGATCTTTACTTAGATAAAGGGCCTGAGACTGTTCGCATGTTTTAACCATGTCTTACTAGTGTCTTTAGTAAAAGTTTCCTACTTTTATACTCCATTTCCTTTGAAATAAAGGCCAACATTTCAATTGCCTTCCCCATCACCGATTGAACTTGAACGCTAGCTTTCTGTGATTCATGGATGAGGATTCCCAAATCTGTCTATTCTGTAGCTTTCTGCAGTCTTTCCTCTTTTAAATAATATTCAGCTCCTCTATTCTTCCTACCAAGGCATATAACTTCACATTTTCCCACATTATATTCCATCTGCCCATTCGCTGAACCTTTCTTAGGCATCATCGTTATTACTGAAAGATGGTTTAAAGAACAGAAATGGAAGTTGATAAGACCTGGTGTCAGAATTTTCAGACTGGAAATAAAGGGTATAACAAAGGTCCAAGACAGAATATTGGTTCAAGAAATGATCACAGCTGTGAGGGAAGATGATGTATTATCATAAATTGAAGCCACGTAGATTGAACTGAGGAACAATGAAGGAGTGATCACACTGCTGGGAGTGTATGATCCAAACAGCTGGGGGGAGATAGAAAAGCAAAATGTAGGAAATCTGCTGAGAAATACAAAATCAGGAGGATAATGAAAGATTTCAGCTAACCCTAAGAACTGGAATAGATTAATTGTTAAAGAAACAGAGGTATCTGACTCAAAATGCATTCTGAAGAACTTTATTGCCGGTCCATATCAAACCCAACAAAGGAAGAGTTGATTCTAGATTTAGTTTAAGGGAATTTTTTTCTCTTTACTCTTTCTTGAGATATGAGTGCCATTGACTGGGCCAGCATTTATTGCCCATTACAAATTGCCTTGGAGAAGGTAGTGGTGAGTCGTCGCCTTAAACCTCTGTAGTCCTTGGGTGCGGGGACATTCCAAGCTTGCTCAGCCATTTCAGAGGGCTGTTCAGATCGAAAGGACTTGAGTGAACCAGAATGGATGTTTATGACAATTGACATAGTTCAGTGAAATTAACTTTGTTCCAAATTTATGAATTGAATTTCAATTCCACCAGCTGCCATGGCAGGATTTGAACTAGCCAGTGTCTCCAGATCATTAACCTGGGACCCTCTTGATTACATGTGTAGTGACCGTGCCGGTCTGCCACTATCTCCCTTTGGATAGGGATCTGGGCAGGTAGACAGCGTATCAGTCAGGATTTCAGTTTGATGTTGGTGATCATAATTCATCTAAATTTCACCAAGTTGAGGAAAAAAAGAAAAATTACACCAAGAGTATAAACTCTTATCAGACAAAGGTCGGTTTTATGAAGCTAAGATGTGGGTTAGCAGAAATGGCATGGAAACAACAGCATGAAGGTAAATCAGTGTCCAAGCAGTGGGAGACATTTGAAGTAGAGATAGTGAGAATTCGGAACAAATATAAACAAAGGAAAACAGAGCATCCAAATGCCAA